CAAAGTCAAATCACCTATTGTAAAAGTTAATTAAATTTATAATAAAATAGTTAAAAATGTCAAGTCAATAAAACAATTAATAATGTCATATCTAATTTCAACAGATAATGTCAAATATATTAATTTAATAAATAATGTCATATCATTTTAGTTATAAATAAATGAATTGTCAAATTTAGAAATAATCAATAAGCTATTTTCTCAAGAAACTCAAGTGCAGCCGCCACTAGCTTTGCTAAACCATCAATCCTTGACCAAAAAAATCGGAATGCCATCAGGTCCACTAGATGATCGAGCCTTAAGACGCCTAATAGCTGCTTTGAGATCAACTTCAGTTATTGTTGACACAGAAATGAGCCTAGCATCCTTAATTGTATAACTCTCCTCAGCAGCTTTAGCGGGATTCAAGCGGGGCACCTCGTCCAAGAACACAGAACCGAAATATTGTGCAAAAGCCTCCGCAGCCTCGTGACCTGTTACTGCCTCATCGTTATATAAATAGGAATCTACATATCTCCTGTCCATCCTCTTATCTTTAATGTATTCCCAGAATTTTACAGGTTCGTCGATGATATTTTTTTCGATATTTTGTATATAAAGCTGATGTTCTATGTCAATCAGTTTTTTTGTGTGCCATCTATAATATCTAAATAATTCAAAATTAAATTCTTTACGGTCTTGTTTATACCTCTTTAAGTGTATATATTTCTGCTTTAAGTTATTAATTATCTCGCTGGTAAACCACTTGGGATAATTATACCTATTGTTACAGGATGAATCCCTTTTAGGGGGAACATATAAATTTATACAATCGTACAGAGTCCGGTAAAATACTTGCACGCTAGAACCAACATCTTCATTTCCCAACACGTCGGACCAATCTATTGAGTCCAGAGCAGAATACAACGCCCCAAAGTTAGCTCTACGCCAGTTCCTATTGTAATATCGAGAGCAGGATGATATTCGTCTAACGGCACCAAGGGCTCAGTGTTTACAGAAACTGCCACCCGACCAGGCACAAGATCACTCAACACGAGATCCAACAAACTACCCCGGCTATTCACTATATGGTTATTTTCATCCAGATGGCAAAATGCACAAAAGTTCTCAAATTGAGCTTTAACATTATTACTACATGAATTTAAATTAAAATCACCTATAATTACAACATTTAAATTAGGATATGAACAGATAACATTTTCTAAACATGTCAAAACATTTAAATACTGGTCGTCTTTATAACTAGGGGGTAAATAGACAACACAACACAGGAATTTTACATTTTTTCACTTTAGGATTATACAAATTAATTCCATGTCAGGTGTAAGGCCATCAATGTTAGTAACAACTTTAGTCGAATAAGAATCCCGTACTGCCAGCAGAACTCCCCCCCACCCTGCTTCACCAGCTCGGTCCTTCCGTACAACCACGTAGCCCTTGGGGAAGAGTTCGCCGTCACGTACTGAACTTGTCAAAAAGGTCTCGGTCAAAGCAACAACATCAAAATTACAAGCAGTTACATTTTTATAAAATACTGTAGTTTTAGAACGCAGACCTCTTACATTCTGATAGTAAAATTGCACCTCTTTAGGTCGTCTTTTGCTCCTGTCGCAGGTCTTGTTTGCCACGAAAGTTCTGTCGCCACGGTTTGATACAGATGTCCGTAGGCCAACTGTTAGAAGACATTACTTGCTCCACCATCTTGGTTGGTATTCCTAATTTAAAAGAAGCGTAGTTACCACGCGCTTTCAAAGCCTCCACCGAGCAGTTATTTTCACCGCATAGAGAAGTGAGATGAGCGTGGACCTGGTCAACCGTAGTTCCTTCTTGAACGTAATAGAGGTGGAGAAATTTCTTTCGTTCAGCCGCGCGCATTGTGGTATCTCCAGGTGTTGCAGTGCCACACCGGACAAGTGCGTCCTTACTCGCTTGCGTCTTACCTCGGTCCATCCTTCACTTTCTGTCCGTTTTAAATCTTTATCAGATGCGGGAATCACCGTGATTTTGTTTTGCGTGGCAGCAGAATCTTATGTTTATTACTATTGTAATACTAAATGCACTGTACATACATAGATGCCTTGTCGTTTCTCAGCTCCTCATAGCAGAAATCGGAGTTTAATGCAAAAAAATTACCAACCATCAATGCGTCAATTCTTGGCAGATTTGTGCTTTCCGCTTTCAAAAAGCCAGTTTTGTCAAAAAAAAACAGTAAACGGATTTTTTTCTAAAGTGTTTTAAGATAAATTTAGTCAGACGAAAGAATCCACCCATAGTAACACACGAATGACATTTAGTTGTTTACTACAACAAGAGACGTCACAATCATGGCGGATGTGGCGAACAGCGTTTTTAGTGTTTAAAAAATATAGACTAAAAAATATTTTTTAAATTAAATTTCTACAGCAATCTTCTGCTTTTATGACGTGAAATCGATATATTTAGGTTCCTTAGACCAAATACTTTAAGGATCAAACATTTATTTAATACAATTCGACATGAGTCAACTAGCCTATTGTTTATTAACACAGGCTTGGTTTATATAAACAATCCTTACCTTTCCAATGTTTGCAATTTTTAAGGTTCGATCCCCGATCCGGTCAACTTATAAAATTAACTTTTTTTAATTTTCTCGGGTCTAGCTTATTATTTTATCGTAGTTTTTTCTGATTTCCTTAATTTAGAGCATATGCTCCAATATGCTCCAAGTAATAATAAGTATTAATGTTGTACAATATTTATTTAATGGATGTCGTCTGGGATGTTTATAACAGTTTTTTTTTCTTTTATTGCTAGATTTTAATATGTAAATAATTTGATTTTAATTCGTTTTAGAGCCACCATCTATGGACAAACAAAACATTTTTTTATATGATTACGGCAGTGCTTTTGTAGCAAGATTAGCATATAAGCATGCGTGCTGTAAATTATCTAACTTTTTAACTAGTTTGCTTAAAAATCCTTAGATGGAGCGAGCGATCGCAAGTACATTTATGAAACTTGGCGTCCAAGTAATAAAGCTTATTTTTGTTTGCCAAAGATATAACAAACTAAATAGTAAATTAATGTTTCCTTTAAAGTCATTAGTTTAATAATGTGTTTAAACATAACGGACATTTCATTTTTCTTGTATTAAGCTATTATTTATTTTTTGAAACAATTTAAGTATAAAACATTTAATTTTGACCTAGAGAGTTGAATTTTAACACTGGTGTTGTGTTTAAGACGTACCTAGTCATGCATCATGATAGTCTTTTACGTGTTCACATTTTTGTAGGTTTCACTTCTATCGCATGTAAACAGCACATGTCCGTTTTTATATTAAAAGCTGGTCTGCAAAACCATAATAAATTTTAAGTTTCTGAAAAAAAAAACATAATTACCTGTCTATTGTTATATCATACTAAAATAATATGTAGTAATTAATTAATAATAATATAAGGGCTAAAAATCCTTTTATTTCAAATTAAATTGTTGCGTGTTTCAACAAATGATATATCATTAGATTCTGCGTAATTTATTGAGCTTATATATGTTAGAATCACGACGAAAGAAAGCCGAGAAAAAAAGACATTTTGCTCTGAACATTTATTGGTTATGTTATTTTGACATTTTTATTACTTATCTGTATTACATTTTTGCATTACAGAAATTGATTTTTTGCACAGAAATCCTTATGATTTCTGTGCAAAAAATCAATTTTCAATTTATCAATTTACACCAATATCACAGATAAATTTAAAATGTAGTAGAAGCGAAGCCATTTGATATTATTTTAATTATTCTTAAATTCGTTCACAATGGATATTGTGTAATAAAATTGGTGTGTTTTTGTGTTACAACCGTCTGCGCAACTGAAGAATTAGTGGAATCTTTAAAATATACGCTATTCCAGTCAAGTGGACGTAAGAATTTTATTGTGGTGTTGACTACCTCACAGAAGCTTACCTGAAAAGCCAACTCGATACATTTCGTGTCAAACACTCCAAGAAACATTACAATGAGCCACACCGACATTCAATTTCATTTCAAAAAAACGAAGATTACTAAAATTAAAGACTTGAAATTAAAGAATTAAGGGCATTGTTCCCTTTGCCTTCCCCGAAAAGGGAGAATCTTAAAAAAACATTCTAAATTGTCCTACTTGGTAAACAATCTTGGCACAATTTATTAACAAAATCACCAATTTAAAAATAAAATAATAGCAAAGTCAATAATCTATTACAATAAATCGTTATTATAGACTGAAACCTATTGAATCTAGTCATCAGTTGATTTTTAATGCTGTATTTTCAACAAAAAGAAGTGCCAAGATTGTTTACCAAAAAGGACAAGTTAGGATGAATGTCAATGCAGTGTTTTCTATTTTTTTTATTAACTCGGCTTTTATTTGTGTCAATTACAATTTGTAATAACTGTTTATATTTAATAAATAATATTAGTAAAAATATCTATTCTAGGCGTTCAACTTTGATCCAAATAATATTTGGCCGATGTCCTTTAAGTTTAGGTTTAGAGAATCATGTGAGAATCCATACTATTAAATTTATATTTTCAAAATACCGACGAAAAGTTAATGGTGTCGATTCTAGCATGATTCTCTAAACCTAAACTTAAATTTGACAGCAGTATATCCTTGTCGTTCTCTATACAGAATGAAAAGGAGAGACTGATGTTAAATTTAGTTTTAAGTTTAGAGAATCACGCCAGAATTGGCATCATTATCATATTAGCTTGCCAAGTAAATAAGTTATTTATCCACCGAGTAAATAAATCTAAGTAAAATTTAATGGTACTATGGTAAAATAGTGATACTGTGGTAAAATGAACAGCGGCACCAAAAATTTATCCTTTCGAAATAAAGAATTCGGATCTTGAGGAGCACGAAAAAGTAAATTTTCTAGTATAAAAAAAAGATTAATAAAACTTAAGACTAGTCTGTATAAGTACTGTTACCTTTGTCTTCCCTGAAAGGGACAATGTTTAAAAAAACTGCTGTCACTGTCACTTGGTTGTTGACAGTATGTTGTTTTGTTGTAAAAACAGTTTGAGGGAAGGAAGGCACAATGACTAAATAAACCTGGAAGGCATCACTGAAGAAATCTAATAAATAATAAATTTATTGCCATTTAAATTCACTTCAGTTCTGAATTTTGTGTCAGAATAAATAAAAATGAATGCACCGCCAACTTTCGAATCATTTCTTTTGTACGATGGAGAAAAGAAGTAAGTTTGAAGTTAATTTTATAACCTATTTACTTTATACCTATATTTCGTTTAATTTGCAACTTTTTCTTCTTTTAAGGGTCCAAAAAGAAGAAGATACAAAGGTTACCAATGCTGCAATATTTACCGTGAATAAAGAAGATCATACCCTTGGTAACATGATCAGACAGTAAGTCTTAAGGTTATAATGTTAACACTGTTTACCTCGGAACATGTTTCATAAACTTCATGTCCGTTAAACGATAACATTATACAATGAAACTATTTCAAATATTTAACGATAATTCTTTAACATTAACAAACTTTCTGCCTTATGTTCTTAAGTATTATCAAAATAAATATTGACTTAACTACACTCATGTGCATTGAATGTATTTTTAACCAGTTGTTGTTTGTGTGTACAGTGTCTATTTTATTTGTTTCAGTCAACTCCTTAAAGACCCAAAAGTATTATTTGCTGGATACAAAGTGCCACATCCATTAGAACACAAATTTGTATTGCGCATTCAAACTACTTCTGATTATACTCCACAGGAGGCATTCATGAATGCAATCACAGATCTTACATCTGAACTATCTCTATTTGAAGAAAGATTCAAAGTAAGAGAAGTTTATCTTTAATCATTATTTTAATTGCTCTAGGTCTGAAATTAATTACTGTACCCTTAGTATGAGTTTTTTTAATACGAAACGAACGATCATCTTCGTCTATTTGATCAAACTATACGTTTTCAATTTGTGTCGCAGTACGAGTATAGAATTTCACTCCTCGTTTTCATGATATTGTATGCTTGATGACTCGATTAAACGAACTTCACACTGTTTAGTTTTGTCTCTTTCGTTCTTTATTGCCAAAAAAGAGAGTTGAGCCATTCATTCAATTTAACCTTTTTTTTTTAAAGATTCTCCCTTTTTATGGAAGGCAAAGGAAACAATACTCATACAGCCTAAACTTTTTCCGGTTTGACAGCTGTCAAGTAAACATCACTGTTATTAGGCTCCTCCGTTTTTAACAACAAAAAGTGGAAAAAAGTGATTTATCTAAACTTTAGAGCTCCAAAAAACGTAAAGTGGCTAACGGTACACAGTTTTAAAAGTGGAACACTAGAAATACTCGCAAAATCTGCTTGAAATCACGCAAACAAAAACCGTGGAAAATAACACATCTACAACTATATAAGGTAACCTCAAACCAACGTGAGTCGTCAACTTCCGACATTTGACAATTAAGTGCCAACCAAAAAGTCAAAACATTGACTGATCGATTGACAATTAGCACAGTGTTGCCGGCTACAAAGTGTTACCAGCTTAAAAAAAAAAAAAAAGACAGCCAAATTGGTAAATTTCGGAAAAAGATGGAACCTCAATTCCAAATATTATTAGATAAAATAAATGAGATGAAGGTAGACTTCAAGAAAGAAAACGAAGAACTTGCAAAAAGGTTTTCCCTGGAAGTTTCAAGTGCTATAAATGATAGTTTAAAACCTCTGGCGGAAGAAAATAAACAACTTAAACACGAAATAGAAACTTTGCAGAGTAAAGTGTACAATCTCCAAAAAGAAATACGCAAAAACAATCTAATACTACATGGTATGAGATTGAAGAACACCAAAACTTTATATTCTGTTACATTGGTACCGGAAAAGGCCTCTATGGAGTAGGGTTTATCATAACAAAATACCTTAAAAACAACATTGTCAAATTCATTGAGATATCAGAAAGAGTAGTGCTTCTACAACTACAGTTTGAAAGAACACATATCTCTCTGATCCAAGTATATGCACCAACCGAGAAATGTACAGAAGAAGAAATCAATAACTTCTATGAAGACTTAAAAAAGCTCAGGAATTAGCAGGGAGCACGAAAGTAATCATAGGAGACCTTAATGCAAAAATTGGCCAGCCTAAAAACCATGAAACCATAGTCATGGGAAAATATGGCTTTGGTGAAAGAAATGGAAGAGGGGAGACTCTAATAGAATATGCTCTAGAACATGGAATGATGATAATGAATACCTGTTTTAAAAAGAGAAAGCCGTAGGTGGACCCGGACATCACCAGACCAAAAACAAAGAACGAAATTGACTTTATAATTACAAACAAACCTAAACTGATTTCAAATGCAGAAGTTATAAACCAACTCAACTTCCCATCAGATCACCGACTGGTAAGAGCTAGTCTAAGTTTAAAGTCAATCAAATTATGCAGGAAAAACTACAACAATGGACCAGGATCGATAGAAACGGAAAAAAACATAAAAACATACCAAGAAAACCTACAAATAAATATTGAAGAGAATAACAACATAGAAGACAAAACAAAAGTACAAGTTTACTATGACACTTTAGAAGACATCATCCAAGAAAGTTTGAAAATGGAAAGCGAACCTCATAGCAAAAATAAAGAGATCTTAACCAATGAAACTAAGGACTTAATGAAGAGACGCTCCGAACTACTAGCAATGAAAAACAAAGATAAAAAAGAACTAGGAAACCTATTCAAAAAAACTAACAAGGCGATAAAAAAAGACTATAATAACCACAAACAGAAAACCATAGAAAAAACCTTAGAACATATAGAAGTACGAAGCGCTCGGTTAAAGAACTAACACAACATAATACATGGATAAAAAATCTGAACGACAACCAAAAAGAAACAAAAACCCGAAAAGATGTGCTTAAATGCGCAACAGCTTTCTACTCAAAACTTTATAAAGGACCAATAGAGGACATAGACAGCGAAGATGAAAAAGAAAATGAAGGAATTATTACTAACCTAACCATAGACCCAATTAACAATAAGGAAACACTACAACATATAAAAAAGCTAAAAAATGATAAAAGTCCAGGGCCGGACAACATCAATAATGAAGCTTTGAAATATGGAGCCCCACTATTGCTTACATTCATCACAACTTTGTTCAACTTAATCCTTGTTATGGAAACTATTCCTCAACAGTCGTATAAATCAGATATTATCCTACTTTATAAAAAGTGTGATCCATTTAATATCTCAAACTATAGACCCATCAGTCTACTTTCAAGCTTGTACAAACTTTTTACATCAATAATACTTGGTCGGATATCACCACAAATAGATAATTTACAACCAGTCGAACAAGCGGGGTTTAGATCAGGATTCTCCACTATCAACCATATCCAAACCATAGAACAAATAATAGAAAAACACATGGAGTTTAAGAGGCCAATCTATATTGCTTTTATTGATTTCAAAAAAGCATTTGATAGTATAACGCAATAATCAATATGGAAGGCATTAGAAGAATGTAAAATCAGTCAGAAATATATAAATATAATTAAGAACATTTACTTCAACTGTACAAGCAGAGTTAAACTGGAAAGGAAAAGGAATTCCCAATCGGTAGAGGTGTCAGGCAAGGGGATCCTCTGTCACCCAAGTTGTTTATAGCCCTGCTTGAAAGTATTTTTCGCCACTTAAATTGGAAAGACAAAGGAATTAAAATACAAAACCAATATTTGAGCCACATTAGATTTGCCGATGATATTGCTATCTTCGCTGTCTCTGCTAGAGAACTAGAAGAAGTGATCTGCCTATTTGCACAGGAAAGCCGTAAAGTCGGCCTTAATATAAGCAAAACAAAAATAATGACAAATTCTGTTGCGAAACCAATCATAGTAAACAATCAAAATATAGATTATGTTGATTCATATATATATCTAGGGAAACAAATATCGTTTAAAGAAAACAACAATGAAGAGGAAGTAGAGAGACAAATAAATATAACCTGGAGAAAGTTTTGGGCATAAAAAGAGATCTTAAAAGGACCCTACAATTTAAACCTCAAAAAGATAGTGCTAGATACTAACCTTTTACCTTGCTTAACATATGGCAGCCAAACCTGGGTGACTGGGTGTATACAAACAAAGTCAAAAACAAAATAACAACATGCCAGAGATCAATGGAGAGGAGCATTCTAAAACTAAAAAGGATAAAATCAGAAGCACTGAAATAAGAAGCAAGACTAAAGTCATAGATGCTCTAGACTTTGCTATGAAATCTAAATGGAAATGGGCTGGACATATTGCCAGATACAAAGATAAGAGGTGGACATTGAGAACAACAACATGGAAAGGGCCAATAGGAAAACGTAGAGTGGGAAAACCAAAGAAAAGATGGTCAGACGATATAAAAGAAATAGCTGGACCAAAATGGATAAATATTGCCAAGGACAGAGAAAAATGGAAGAGTTTGGAGGAGGCCTATACCCGAAAGGGATCTGTTAGTATGTAAGATGTATAAATGTTAAAATGAAAAACCTGTATAACAGAAAAATAAAGGCTTTATTATTATTATTATTACAGCCTAAACTTTTGTTATATTAATATTTTTTTTTTACATGAGAATGTCGTCGGTGTGACGTATTCTAATGTTTGTTGGAATGTTTGGCACGAAATGTATTGAGTTGGCTTTTTCAATAAGCTTCTGTGAGGTAGCCAACATACAATAAAATTCTCACGTCCACTTGACCGGTTAGTGCATATTTTAAAGATTCCACTAATTCTTCAGTTCCGCAGACAGTTGTAACACAAAATCACACCAATTTTGTTTCACAATATCCACTATGAACGAATTTAAGAGTAATTAAAATAAGACGCCAACCGCACTCGATGAAATCGCGCTAAAAACTCCCAATTCAACCTTAAACAAAGCTAATCTATGTAAAACTCTTAGAGTTAATCTTATTAATCTGTGTCCAAAGAGTATAGAACCTACGTTTATCTGTGTGTGAAACTTGGCTTTATGGTTGACTTCAAGGCCGCAAAGAAATAAAATTAAAAAGACGAACGAGCTATACAGTAGTCGCTTATGATGTGTAACATTTGAAACCTCACCTTATATTAGTAAAAAAAGAAATAAAACCTACTACAAAAGGAATAAGCCATTTGAACATTATGTTCTAAAATCGAATCAAATTGTGCGCGCTTTCGCGACTTCCTGTTACACACTTCCGTCCCATTTCACGAAATCACTTCCAGACAGGCAAACGAGAGGAAAGATGTTACACATCAAAAATATATATACATTGCACAAAATGCCTGTCGGTGATAAAAGACGTTAATCGCCTCCGCTGTAATAAGTTCCGTCGCTCCTGTGCACGTTGGTCTTCGTTAATGTCTTCAGCGAGCATGAGAGCCAAATATTCTGTGGAAAACATTATTAGATTGCATAAAAACTTGGCCTGAAACATTATTAGATTGCATAAAAACTTGGCCGGAAACACTTAGTCACTGAAAGTTTCTAATCGAGTGACGATACGATCAAACGTCGTAGTATACTCATGACGCGCTGTCAAAGTTGTAACTTGTACTGCCAAAATGCAAACGACATACGAAAACTTAAGTTTTCGTGTTACGATGACTCGATGAAACTCATACTGCTGATTTTTGTTTTTGATAGTAAACGCTAGGGGCGCTGCTAGTCAATGTATGGAAACGAGACGATACGATTGATCGAATTCGAAAACGATTAAAACTCATACTAGGGGTACTTAGGGATGTTCCGATACCATCAAGGTATCGATACCTACTCATTTCGATAGTACTCAAATCTTTTTTCGATACTACTTAAATAAATACTCCTAAAGTATCGATACTTACTGATATCGATACTTTTAGCACTTATTTTTATTTATTTTTTACTTTGAGGAAACTAAAGTAAAAACAATAAACGTTGAAGAATGAAAATTAAAACAAAAGTGAGAAAAAACGAGAATATAAATGTTTTGCGTCACTTTTTTTTAACATTTTAGGAATTCAAAGGGATTATTTAATATTTAAGGAGAGCAGTCGCAAAAAAGAAAAGTATAGGATCCTACCTTTCATTGGTCCCTTTATTTGCTTTTTCTCTAATTTGCCTTTATCCAAAGTTCACACAGAATTCACAGACTTAAAGATTGTTTACATTTTGCAATTGTTTCGTTTGTTTTGGTAAAATTTTATTGATTTTGGTGGTGCCATGATAACATTGGAATAATAATCCGATGATTACAATAAATAAAATTACTTGAAAACAATCATTTGTATATTCAAATTAAATCTCGACTTGACAGTTTGAAAATAAATTATGTTGACAATGATGACAACTTACATGGCGGGCGGACAGCTCTCTCGTTTTCGGCTCGGGCTCGGATGAAGTCGGAGGAGTTCGGCTCGCCTGGCGCAACCACACCGCTATGTGCGATGAATACCGGTAACCGAGCGAAAGGGCTTTTGCTCTCTCATACTGTCTGCGTTCGGAAATTTTATCTTTTTTAAATGGTGATGCTGATTCGATTTGATACCAAGTACTTTTGTTTCGATACCGAGTATTTATCGCAAGATTGATTCGATGCTATAAATACTTGGTATCGAATCAAAAGTATCGAGTACCTACTCGTATTTACTAGTATCGGAACATCCCTAGGGGTACTGAAGTGTTAAAGCAGATGTATTTTTACAGTATAGTGTACCATACTTAAAGCAGGTTTTGTTTACGACGACCTCCATGGCCGAGTGGTTTGTACGCCGAGTTTCATTGTGTCGCGGACTCGAGAGGTCCCGGGTTCGAATCCCTGTGGGGGCAGATGTTTGTGTGATGAACATGAGCATTTATACTCCAGTCATGGATGTTTAATATGTATTTCTATATAAATATACTTATATAATATATATATATACAGTATGTGTATTCTATCCGTTATGCTAGCATCTCGTAACACAAGCCTTATATAGTGCTTACTTTGGGGCTAGGCTAGTTGGTGTGTGTTGGAAATATTTATTTATTATTTATTTTATTATTTACTAGTGGCCTCGCGCGACTTTGTCCACATTTACTTTGTTTTTTTAAAAGCCCACAGGAACCCAACATTTTTCCTAGATAAAAAAATAACCTATTTGAGCATAACAATTTTCATACAAATCCATTCATTAGTTTTTGTATGATTGAGTAACATACAAACATTCACATTTATAATATTAGTAAGAAGAAGAATTTAAGAAGTTGAATTTTTATTTCATTTTTCTTTTGAAAATGTATAAGGTTATAATTTTTATTATTTTTAAAGCATGTAACTGCTTGATGTTTAAATCCAAACCAAATTGGTCAGTTCATTCGCCCGGATTGCGAAGGGTGCGGGTTCTGGTCCCGTCTGCTGCCTGGTCCGTGTGGATTTTTTTCTAGATATATTTTCTTTAGATTTGATGTATAAGGTTTTATATAATAGATTTATTACAAATATGAATATTCCACAAAATTGAAACAAACTATTTTAATGGGTATGTTTTGATCCTCATACCTAAAATCTCATTTCATTTGATATGTAATTGATTTTATTTCAGTGGCTAAGCAAACTTTGTTTATAATTTAAACTTGAATAGAATTGCTGATAATAAAATAATAATTGCCTTGATTTCAGGAAGCTATAAAAGAAAAGAAAGAGGGATTGGACTGAAGTATACCATAAGGAACTTTGTGTTTATCTAAGTTTTTAGTATAAGAAGGGTACAATAAGTTTGTCAAACATCTGTTTAATATGGCTCTAATTCTCAAAAAAGAAATAGTTATGAAGTGTTTATACACTCGAGTATTACAAATAATTAAATGTTCTTGTCTTCATATGCTCTACTAAAGGACACAAACTTTTCCTATAGATACAAATTCAATCATGTACTGGGTTATGCACGGCCCAATATTCATAATTGCTTCATCTATAGGAAAGGTTTGTGTCCTTTAGTGGTGGCATTATACAGATGATGAAATATAACTCTTAAAATGCGTAATAAATGTGAAATAAAATAAAAGAGTTGTTTTTAAATTATATTTTTAATACTTATAAAAGATTATAATTTGGTGTCCTTTTTATCGCATTTAAAGTAAAACTTTGCAGTACAGATAGTACATAAAAATTAAAACATGATGGAAATTTATCAATTTGTGCCATAATAATAAGTAGTAAAGTTTCTCGATCTGCATTATTACCAGATAATGCAAATGAAAAATCAACATACCATACACCAAATCACTTTAAAAAATTAAAACATGCAATTGTAAATTTAATCATATAAAAAAGATCAATAGTTCTTCTTATTTACAAAAGTCATCTAAGGTATTTATAACTAGCATAAAGTCATGCTCAATGGTAAACAAGTAATAAATAATACCCTAGTTAAACAAGAAACAACAACAACAGTAACATTACAAACTAAAAACAATATCCCTGTACATAGAAGTAATGGTTGGGAGCATTGCCCATGTCCGGTCAAATGCATGCACACTATTGGCTTATTAATTGAATAACTTTTACTCATCAATATTATGTCTAGATATTTTACTTACTATAATTATATAAAAATACCGAATGGTATATGAAACACATTGTAATGCTTAATGTGGTATTTTTTTTTGTGATACTAAAAGTTGAGGATAAGGAATTTGTTAGGCGTTAGTCTTTTACCTCCTTATTATTAAACAAGGAATAAGCTTAAGACTAGTTACGTCCTGTTTTGTTTATGTCACTCAAATGCCATTTGTCATTCAATAGACAGCGACAAAATATGCAGTAACTAATCCAAGCGTAGTCTTCATTTATTAATAAGGGGGTCAGTGTTTTAAATGCGCATTTCATAAATGGCAAATAATGTAAAAAATATTTGATTCCTGGACATTGTTTCTAGCAATATTGTTATAATATCATTATTAATCATAATATTGAAATAGCACATTTAAAATACTAAATGTTCTTCCATCTTAAAGTAGGTACTTTAACATAGTTAATAAGTTTCTTCTTCATCACAGTTCTCTGTCGCGTGACCAAATACTGAAAAAAATTAAAACAAAATTAATATATTATATCTCGATTGACTACCTTGAAATTGAGTTTTCTCAAAATGCATTGGAGTACTGAATTTAATATGTGTAAACAAAGAAGATCCATAGAGATTTTTGGAAATATGGGATATGTCATTAATACAATGAATTTTTTGTTCATCACAGACACAGTTCATGATAGATACGACAGCGCAACCTTTAGAGGAAAATCATGATATTTGCCTAGTACTAAAGGGCCCTTAAATGTACTATTTATCTGCCAAGGGAATGCGCGCAGCTCATGAGAGAACATTACATGACAAAATAAATATCAATTTGTTTATGTTGGTACATAAACTGCTGGAGCGCAGGTTCCCTACGGCTGGGATTAGCAGCTTGCACCATGTGACCTTATGGGGGTAACGACTGCAGATGCAACTGGGACCAACAGCTTAACGTGCCTTCAGAAGCTGGGAGGAGTAATAAATTTAATCACGCTATTGCCGCAATTACCTTTGGTCGTCAGCCCGTATGCGAGTGCACGAAAGACATTACTCGAATTCTGGCATCCAAAGCAATTATTACATTGGAATACGGGCTGGAAGACGGTGTCGGATAAACAAAAAGAAATCTATCCTAAAGTATACGGGCGTACTGTATACGTACGTACGGCTACACTTAGTCATTTACCCAAATTCCATTGGCACTCGTATTCAGTAAACTAAAACCTGCGCATAGTTGTGCTCGCTGCTAACTTCACAGCCGCCATAAAGTTTGGATAGCGCCATACAGTGACCAAGATCTTGTTTCGCGTGGCCATTATCGGAGCTAATTTTAAGAAGCCTTTTATTTATAGAGGAAGGTATATTATTTTTTATAACTCTTTCTGAAATTATTGTAAAATATGTAAATATAAAATAATATGTAATTCCTAAAGTGAGAAGATTTTACGTACTTGGAAATCCTCATTTCACTACTTATTCACCAAAATCTTGTCAATGTCATGAAAGTGACACAAGATCTTGGTCGCACTGTACGCGGCTGTTAACCTTCGCACAATTATGCCGGAGTTGAGTCTCGAAATGGCCCGCCTGCCGCGGACTCCTCCGAGTCGTGCGCTTCGAACACGTCGCAAATCTGATCACCATCTCATCATGATCAGCCTATTAATTTCCCCACTGCTGGAGCACAGGCCTTCCCTATGGATGGAATAGGGAGATTGGGCCATGACCCACCACGCGGGCCCAGTGCGGATTGGCCGGTGCTAACGACTGCAGATGCAGCCGGGACAAACTTCTTACGTGCCTTCCAAAGCACGGAGGAACTCGAGATAGAAGATTTTTGGTCACCCATCTAATAACCGACCACTACGAAAGTTGCTTAACTTCAACGATCGCAGCCGAAAGTGCTAACCACCTTTGCCATCGAGCTCCTCAGCGAATCTGTAACCCTAGCACGAACCATTGTCGAATTCGAATAGTTTGCAAACCGAAATGTCAATGTCAAAATGGAAACTTGAACAGCAGCGCCACAAAGTACGTAACTAGAACTAAAAATCAGTACATATTTGACAATGACATTTCGTACTCACACTCGATACGAATTCGATATTGGTTCGTGCTAAGGGTACTGATACCTTTGCATAAATGTCAGCAGTGATACCTTCGCGGTAAGAAGGGTCTCGGGGGGCGGGGGCGTCCGCCTACTCCTAATGCCGTCACATAATATGTTGCATTGCAGTATATAGGGCCTCGGGACGAGGGGTTCGTCTGCTAAGGCACTCCTCCGTATCGTTTGCTCGCCGGTCGCTGGTGCTGCCACTGACAGTCCTTAGTGTCGCGCATACACTTAGTGTTTGTGATACCTGCGCATATGTCACAGTGGGGTCTCGGGGGGCGGGGTCGGCCGCCTGCCGCGGAGAGTCCTCAGTGTCGCGAAGAGTGTTACCTTCGCACATGTCGCAGTGGGGTCTCGGGGAAGGGGCGGGGCTCGCCGGCAACCTGTCGCGGACAGTCCTCAGTGTCGCGTGATTGTGATACCGTCGCATATGGCGCAGTAGGGTCTCGGTGGCGGGGCGGGGCGGCGCGGGCCCGGCGCCGGCTCGGGCTCGCCGGTCACTTGCCGCGAACAGTCCTCAGTGTCGCGTGATTGTGATACCTTCGCATATGTCGCAGTAGGGTCTCGGTCGCGGGGCGTCGCGGCGCGGGCCCGGCGCCGGCTCGGGCTCGCCGGTCACTTGCCGCGAACAGTCCTCAGTGTCGCGTGATTGTGATACCTTCGCATATGTCGCAGTAGGGTCTCGGTGGCGGGGCGGGGCGGCGCGGGCCCGCCGCCGGCTCGGGCTCGCCGGTCACTTGCCGCGAACAGTCCTCAGTGTCGCGTGATTGTGATACCTTCGCATATGTCGCAGTAGGGTCTCGGTCGCGGGGCGTCGCGGCGCGGGCCCGGCGCCAGCTTGGGCTCGCCGGTCACCTGCCGCGAACAGTCCTCAGTGTCGCGTGATTGTGATACCTTCGCATATGTCGCAGTAGGGTCTCGGTGGCGGGGCGGGGCGGCGCGGGCCCGGCGCCGGCTCGGGCTCGCCGGTCACTTGCCGCGAACAGTCCTCAGTGTCGCGTGATTGTGATACCTTCGCATATGTCGCAGTAGGGTCTCGGTCGCGGGGCGTCGCGGCGCGGGCCCGGCGCCAGCTTGGGCTCGCCGGTCACCTGCCGCGAACAGTCCTCAGTGTCGCGTGATTGTGATACCTTCGCATATGTCGCAGTAGGGTCTCGGTGGCGGGGCGGGGCGGCGCGGGCCCGGCGCCGGCTCGGGCTCGCCGGTCACTTGCCGCGAACAGTCCTCAGTGTCGCGTGATTGTGATACCTTCGCATATGTCGCAGTAGGGTCTCGGTGGCGGGGCGGGACGGCGCGGGCCCGGCGCCGGCTCGGGCTCGCCGGTCACTTGCCGCGAACAGTCCTCAGTGTCGCGTGATTGTGATACCTTCGCATATGTCGCAGTAGGGTCTCGGTGGCGGGGCGGGGCGGCGCGGGCCCGGCGCCGGCTCGGGCTCGCCGGTCACTTGCCGCGAACAGTCCTCAGTGTCGCGTGATTGTGATACCTTCGCATATGTCGCAGTAGGGTCTCGGTCGCGGGGCGTCGCGGCGCGGGCCCGGCGCCAGCTTGGGCTCGCCGGTCACCTGCCGCGAACAGTCCTCAGTGTCGCGTGATTGTGATACCTTCGCATATGTCGCAGTAGGGTCTCGGTGGCGGGGCGGGGCGGCGCGGGCCCGGCGCCGGCTCGGGCTCGCCGGCCGCCTGCCGCGGACAGTCCTCAGTGTCGTGCGCATCGAACACGTCACAGATGTCGCAGAACAGACGCGGCGCCACCGCGCGCGGCTTTCGGCCGTTACTGTAATAAATCAATGTGGTTTTATTTGAAAGCTCATAATAAGAAATTTGCCGGGACTCTAACCCAGATCGTTGGCGCATAAAGTAGGGACTCATATTAATTTTGCGTTTTACACAAAAAACTTTTTATTAATTACTAAATATTCTCTGACGGCCATGCTTACACTCAGACACGTCAATTGACTTTTATGTTTGAATTAAGTTATTCCTGACACTTTCTGTTTTTTCTTGTCGATAACAACTAAATGAGGCAACACGTGACTTGATTTATCAAGCATTAAATCAATTCGACGCCTCTGAATGCTATTGTCGATTCTGGCATAATTCTCGAAACCTTAACTTAAATTTGACAAGAGTGTAATCAATCAAGAGTAAGAATGAAAAGGAGAGACTGATTTTAAACCTAGTTTTTATTTTAGAGAATCATGCCGGTATCGCCAATATTATAATGTTAAAGGATTACTTACAAGACAGGCGATTCGGCGATGAGGTTGCCTCCCTCGAGCGCCTGCACGCGCGCCATTAGCTTCTCGTTCTTGCGCTGCATATCCACTATCACCGAGTTCAGGAAACTCACTTGGCCGTCGATCATTTCTTTGTCTTCTATACTGCTACAAAACGTTTGTGGACGAATTTTAAATTTAACACCACGATAACATTGTACAGTGCGATCTAAACACTACGGATATGGGTTATTCTGAAGTTAGAGGAGAGCGCACCCTACAAGAGACCAGGGTGTCAATTCTGCTAAATTGTTCCTCAATGAAGTTAGCAGAGAGCACTACAATGCACAGCTTTCAATTTCCCACGCGCGCCTACATCGTTCAAGACACATTTTGTTTACTGCGCTGCGACGCGACTTGCGCTAACTTCAAAGCCGCCATTACTTTATATCACGTTTTTTATCACGTCTAACTATCAAACTCCATAGTAATTTGACAATGTAGCGGAATAAAAATGCATTATATATCATATCGCGGTGCTCATGCTAGGGGGCAGAGTGTCGTTTTGCTAAATCGTGCCGCAATAGTGACTTAATGGTATCGCTTTTTAATTGATGTTGTTATTAAAATATCAAATAAATAACGAGTAAAGCTTTATTTATGCAATATTTTGTGTTTTATTCACAAGAACTGTGTCAAAAGTAATGATTATGAAACAAAATTATTGAATCACTTAATTTCTCTGTATTGCATAAAGTACGGCCAACGAGAAGCGATACAATAGTTCATTTACCTAAGACGAGACTATAGGACTAACAGTCTAATAACTCATATATAAGGTCTCGTTCGGTCATGTCACGTGATCGCCGAGATCGCCAACACTCGGACGGCCATTTTATAGTAAAAAAAAATAATGACATATTTTCATTTCGTACCGTGTATCTTCAATACACTTCTTGTGGTAATAAATCTAATAATCTTAATCTTTTTTTGTTTTTTTAACTGTAATATTTTTTTTCAATTTTGGATATTTGAACTATTGTTATTTTTCGTTGTTATTAAATTATTGTTTAGTTTTGAATGTAGTAATTATTTGTTTATTAAGTGTTATACAAATGAATTATTATTTTCAAAAATGTTTCCAACCTCTGCAAGGCCATTAACCATTTACTTTTAGTTTTGCATCATTTTGTATTGCTTCTCGTTGGCCGTGCTTTAGAATATGTCAAACGATCTGTTTGAGACACATTTAGACAAATTAAAACAAAATATTTTTTAATGTTTCATACTATAATTAGCCCGTGTCACTACGTAGTACTAATTTAAGATAGTAAGAAAATATCTAATGGTAAATGTATATTACCTGCATTAATTGCTATAATAGCAAACATTTAACAAAACACTTACTTTTGCGATGGATTGTCACCTTGCCCCAAAACGCCCATAGTGTTGTTGTCATTCTTGTCTCTGACTTCATTACCTTTTATCGCAATCTCTTTTTGCAAAAGGACCTTTTCTCTTTCGGCTATTTCTAGTTTGGCCTTGAAACTCTAAAAAATATACATCAAAATCAATTTCCATTTAAATAAAATATGACGCGTGAATGTAATTTTTTTTTTGTGTGGAACGTGTGAATGTATTTTTATTTTTTCATTTTTAATTTAAAATTGTTTAGCTGCAGTAATCGAATTATTAGGTGTTTATTTAAGAAAAATTCAAGAAATGACTAAGTTCCTACAATCTCTACTCAGATAAAAATAAATATCAGTACAATAATGTTACTACATTGTCATAATACATTATTGTAGCTACCTACTAGTTTTGTAGGAATATTTTTCACTATCTAGATGGCGAAGATTTGTTTTCATTTTTATAATGATGGTTGAACAACTCTACGTCGGTACTTTCTTAAAGTTTAGGTGAATCGTTGGCCGACTATCCGATCACTGCTCTTAAGTACAAGCGATTCGCAAGAGTAATTTTTACTAAAGTTTTGCTCTCTTACCTTAACTTCTTCTTGTAGTTTTACAATTGTTTCATCGCTTTGCTTCAAATTTTTGATTTTGTTATCTATTTCAGCCTTTAAATTATTGACTATCATTTCGCTATTTGTTAACGCTTCTGCACTGGCTTTTCTTGTTGCTTGCAATGATAATGTCAGTTTCTCCAGTTTGCTCTCTTTGTCGACGTCTGAAGTTTGCTTAACCGCTATTAATTCTATTTTTTGTGTTAAATCTAATATTTGATTTTCTGCGTCGTTTAGCTTTTGTTGTAGATCTAATTGCTTTGTGCTTTCACTTTTTATTTTTTCTTTGGATTTTTCTAATTCCATTTCATATTCATTCAATTTGGCTTTTAAGTCATGTTTGCTACGCTTACTTTCTTTTTTGTATTCGTCGAATTGTGTTTGTAATTGTTTATTTAGTTCTTCATAATTCGTTTTTTGTCCTTCATTGATATTGGAGAGTTGTTTAATATCTTTCTCTGATTTTGCAAGCTGCTGCTCTAATTCGATTATTTTCTGTTTAGTTTTTTGTATTTCTTCCACTTCCTTTTCTTTTTCTGCGAGTTTGGTCTGTAATGTCTTAGTTAATGTATTTAGAGATTCGACTTCTGCTTTGTACTTTTCATCTAATTGTGAATTTTCGCTTTGAAGTCGTTTAATAGTTTCTTGTGTTTCGTTGGTATCCGTCTGTAAAGATTCATTGAGTTTTTGTATCTGTAATTCTTTTTCTTCAACTGCTGTGTTTTTAGCAACGATTTCTTGTTTGAGTGAATTAATTTCGTCTTCTAATACTTTAATTTGGCATTTGTCAGTGTCATTTTTCTCACAATGAGATTTTAGCAAAAGTTCATTTTCTTCTAACAATTTGCTTAATTCGCTATTCTTATCAATATTTTCCTTAAGTTTAATGTTTACTAATTCATATTCTTCTTTTATTTTAGTCAGTTCGTTTAAGCTTTCGTCACATTTAGTACCTAGTGCAGATTTTTCCTTCATTAGTGACGTCATTTCATTTTTCATATGCTCTATTTGTTCTAACTGATCCTTTAATAGTGATTCTTCAGCTGAAGAATTAGCTATAAGGCTGTCATATTTTTGTTTTAATGATGATACTTCCATTACTTTATTGTTTAACTTTTCTTCAAGATGTTTTTTACTATCTGTCACTCTTTGAAGTTCTTCATTTACTTGAACTATTTGTCGATCTTTTTCATTAACTATTTCTAAATTAGATTTCAAGTCTACTTCGAGCATTTCTAGTTTCAAATTAAGGTCTTTAATAACATTTTGTTTTTCTTGTAATTGTTGCATTAGGTGTGTTTCATCTGTCTTTTGCTTATTGGATTCATCAGTCAAAGCAGCTAATTGATTTTGTATCTGACTCATTTCATTTTCATGTTGTACTTTTTGACTGTTTAACTGTGTTGTCATATCATCGAGAATTTTCTGTAAAGAATCTTCGTGCTTTCTCGCTTCTTCTAGTTTATTATTTAAATCATTTTGCGCTTCCGTTAGCTGATCAACCTTCTCCATTAATTTAACTTCTGATGTGGCTCCTTCCGCCTTTAAGATATCAACCTGTTCTTTGTAATGATTAATTTTCACTTCCATTTCCTTGCGAATCACATCGAACTCATTATTTAATTCTTGTTCTTTATGTTTTAGATTTTCTATTTCTTGCTTTAGATTGGTGTTTTCATCCAATAATTTATCATTAGCACTTTCCAAATCTTTAATATGGGAACTTGTGTCCGTCATTTGACGATTGAACTCCACGAGTTTTGTTTCTGCTTCTTTCAATTTCTCAATTTTTTCATCCACTGACTGTATCAATAGACCCCGTTCCAAAGAAAAGTCTTCCTGTAGTTTAAATATTTTTTGTTTCAGTTCTTGTTCAATTCTAGCATTATTATTGGAGGCTTCTCTATATTTGTCTTTTAATTCCTGTATTTCTTTTTCTGACTCTTTAAGATGTTGTGATAATTTATTGAACTGTTCATTTGAATCTGTCGCTTGACCAGTCAGATTCATATATTCAGTTTCGATTTTTTCTTTAATTTTTTCTAACTCGTTGCATTTTTCTCGCGTGCTATCAAGTTGACGCTTATGTTCACCAATTTCTAATTCCATAGCGGACAATTTGGCTTTGAGATTATTATTATTATCAGTTAATTCTGTTACCATTTGTTTGAGTTTATCATTCTCCTCCTTTAATTTTTGCAACTCATCCATATTAGTACTGAACTGAGAATTGAGATCATCGAATTCAATTTTACTTTGATCCAGTGATTGTTTGTGACATTCGATTTCTTTCATCAACTCTTCTATTTTAATATTTCGATCTTCAATTTCTTTTTTATGTTCTTCTGCAATTTTGCTATGTTTAATATTAAAACTAGCCGTAGCCTGTTCAAAATCATCCTTTAATTTGATAATTTCTTTATCCCTTTCGTGAATATTTTGTTTGTATTCACTAATTAGCTTTTCTGATGAATTAGTTGAGTTACTTGATTCTGAGAGTAACCTTTCATAGTCCTTTGTTTTTGAAGAAAGACTGTTTTGCAACTCAATTATTTCCGTTTTATTTTTTTCGTTTTGCTGTGTGACTTCGCTTAACAGAGTTTCATATTCATTTACTTTCAAGCAAGACTCCTCTTTTACATGGGCTATTTCTTCCTGTAGAGACTTGTAGGCAGTATCCTGCTTCTTCTTAGCATCTTCTAGTTGTTCTAAATCTAATATTTTGGCACTGAGTTCCATTTTCAGTTTTGTAATTTCTTTATTAAGGTTCACTTCGTGTTCCTTGCTGGCACCCATCACTGAAACATAAATAAAAAAAGTAAAAATAACTATTTTACTTATTTGGTATTCCATTCATTTAGTTACTAATTCCATAGCACGTACGAAAACAATCAATGCGAAAAGATGTCTGTATGTCTATCTTACTGTCATACCTAAAACGCTTAACCTATTTTGGTATCTATATTGGCTGGTTTGTCGGGATAAAGGGAATCTTGTGAAATGGTCTTAGACTTCTTACAATCGCGAAATAAAACTTGACAGGGTAACAGATGAAATTATGGAAATAATAGTTTACATGGGAAATAGTACATTACGATACGCGTGACCTAAACGCCGTGCAGTAATAGACAACTTAGGCCACAAGTATCGTATACTATATCATAGCAAGTGTGACATAAACCCGCCCCCGACGCGACGACTTATTCTCTCGTCGCCATTTTTTAAATGCATTATACGCTGCTGTATACAGCCGTTTCGATTTTTGGGGCAACAAATTCAATGTCACCGACTTCGCCACTTCTTTAATTGCGTCCGGAACAATTTCACCGTTCTCGTATTCGCTTAGGTCACTATCCGAACTGGCCATTTTCGACCAAAATATACAATTCTCGCGGAATGAATTATAGCTGTTTCTCCTTGTTTTGGCTTTTGTCATTTGTTTGCTGTCAGTTTTTGAGCTCCAAATGACATTTAAATGTGTTTCCTTTTATTTTTTCTACATGAGTGAAGTTGGTCAATTCATTTACACACCGTGCAGAAATAGGCAACTTAGGTCACGGAAAAGCGTGCGTAAAGTGCGGGTTTAGGTCACACTGTGCTATAAACAATTATTCCATGTAGACAAAGTCGCGGATTAATTGTTTTAAACTTTCATGGTCACTAACATTATAGCTATTAACGGGATTGTTACCATGTAACTCGTTTTTTATGAGTCTCCGATATTTCGGCTTTTCCGTTGCAAGCGCCAGGATCACGGAGTAACTGAAGCAGTTACTCCGTGATCAGGCGCTTGCAACAATGCCGATTAACGGGATTATTACCATGTTCCTTGTTTTTTATGAGTCTCCGATATTACGTCACTGTTGCAAGCGCCTGATCACGGAGTAATTGTAGCAGTTACTCCGTGATAATAGCGATTGCAACAGAGTACATGGTAACAATCCCGTTAATAGCTATAAAGTCGCGGATACTAGCTAATACTAAAATGAAAAATGCTGTCAAAATTTCGTTAGACAGCTAATGATAAATAGTATTTTTATTATTCGCTAGAATGCACTGCCGATCTAGGACGTTCAGTCTATGTTCCTTTAACTATTACATGAAAATTACCTTTATTGAGTTCAAGAGTCTTGTCATCAACAGCGGCCTGAAGCTGAGTGAGTTTAGCATTTAAGTCGATTATTGTCTGACTATTCTCCTTATTCAACCTTTCCAAATTCTGTTTTTCAGTCTCTAATTTCGATTCTGCTAATTGCAATTTAACCGTTAAGACTGATAGCTGCGTCTCAAATTCGGTTTGTGCTATAGCCATTTTTGTTTTGGCTTCATTAAGTGCCTTTTCCGAGTCCGCCTTTAGTTTAGCGAGTTCCTCAGACATACTTTTGCCTAACGAGTCTTTTTCCTGTTCTTTCTCTTTGAGTAGTGCATACGCTTCGTCCAACAGTTTTTGCAATTCGGAAGACAACGCTGAAATAAAGTAAGTATTAAAAAATATAAGAAGTATGTAATAGCATCCATGGTCACTAACGCTATAGTTATTTATCTTATTAACAGGATTGCTACCCGATATTTCGGCACTGGTGCACAGCGTCATGATCACGGAGAGATTCCTGTTAATAACGTGAATTACTATGAAGTAATGGCATTTTTAAAAATTGATAAGAATATGCTTTATGAGACGATTTGCTCGAAAAGTTGTGCATTAAGATTACTTTGCGCCGCTGTGAGCTCTTCTTTGTGTTGTTCCAATATGGCGGCTGTTTCTGCGCTGCGCTGATCCTCGAGTGCTTGCAGTGTCACTGCGGTAGCGTCGGCGCGGGCGGTCTGCAGCACTGCCTCCGCTTCCAGATCGCGAATCCGTTGTAAATGCTCCGCTCTCTCTTTCTAAATTTTATTAACAATAACTTTAATATAGTCTTTCAAGATTTTGCGACATGATAAGAGTTTAATAGCATAAAATTGATTGTGACAATTTGTTATCAACACTCACCTCCATGGCTTCTTTGTATCTCTGTAAAAAATACAAATACGTTAGTATACAATACAGTACATAATATAATAAACTACAGTAGTCATAATATGTTTTCAATACTAACTGAATTTATCATGACAAGTAAATTTCAGTAGTCTTACAGAAATTATGTAGGCTTTAATTAAACATAGCTTTAATATTTTTTGTTATTAGCGGGATTGCTACCAGGACCATGAAAGTTTAAAACAATATAAACATACTAATACAAAGACTGCAAAAAATCAAGCATATAAACGCCCCGGGTTCGAACCGGTCCTGCAATTTGCTTCCAGGTCGTAAAAATACTTTTAAGTAGGGAAGGAGAACATACATTGTAATCTTCTTTGTTGATGTTCTCCTCTTCATTCCGGAACATGAGGTCTTCCACTTTTTGCCGCTCATCTTCAAGCTGTTTGTTGAGTTTACTTAATTCCGATTTGAGTTTTTCGTTCTCTGTGTTCGTCTGAAATAAACATAGTTTAAGGTGAGTCCGGTGGTAGATAGTAAAATGCAGTTTAAAAATAAGAAAATAACGATAGAAATACATTCTGGGTCTGCAGAGCAGACCATAATCCTTTCTGATGTTACCTCTAGCGTCTTTAAAAAGGAAAAGGTGCCGTATCGCAATTGCTTGTTTTTATATACCTAAATTAAAAGACGGTACCTACAGGTCACATGCTTGATTATCACCTTCTCACATATAAGTTGAAAGGGAAAAGTAAAACACACAAATTACGTAATAAGATAATTTTTATCATTGATTCCTGACCTCGGTGGCTTGTTTTTGAAGATGTGCTAGTGCAGTTTCGGCTCGGTCGGCTTGCAATGACACCTTGGCAACCTCAGCTCGCTCCAACTCCCGCTCTCGCATCAATCGCTCTAAGTGGTTCTGCTTTTCACGTAGTAGTTCCTGGAAATTGAAATGGAATAATAGTTGAATACATCAAATAGGTATATTTTTTTATCATAAAAATAGAAACGTCATTTTTCGCGTTTGAAAAAAATTTATTTTGTTTATTGCATTTATTTGTTTAGCTATAAACAATACAAATAATAATATTATATTAAACATTACAGTACCTTATTTCGTTTTTAAAATCTTAGTTTGTCTGATCAGTATAGTGGCTTACCAAGTGTAGCAGAGGGAGTTTTTTTCAAACACAATGAGATGTGATTTTTTAATTAGGAAACTTCAACCTGGGTTAAAAGACACTTCACATTTACCTAGATTATATAAAATTTCTAAAATTAAAATGTTTAAAATAAAAAATATATCAAAAAAGTAAGGATACACATACATAACAAACAGTTTAAAATCTTTTCCTAACTAACAATGACATAGAGAATTTAATTTCCTACAATATACCAGACCAAGCAAAATTTTTAATTAAGTATAAGTAATCAAAATATTTCCTCTCTTCTTCCTTCTCCTTCCTCTCCTTTCTCTTCTCATGATCTTCTCTTCTTTCAATCTTCAAATATCTGTGAACCTCTGGAATTTTCTACTAATTTTACATTAGGTTTTCAGTAACACACTTTTTTCACATCACCAACGACGAGTAATAATACAAAATGAGGTTTTAAAAGAACATATATCTTCGAAATCGCACTCCTCTCATTAATTAGAGTGTCTGAAAATAATAGTAAAATTAATTATTACTACTTTTTTGATTATACACTTCCGGACACATTTATCGACCCACTAAGTTGTAAGTTTCAACTGTATGCCGCAACAATATTACTAAGTTAGATTGAGCAATAATAATAATTTTTTAAAAACACACGAAAAGGATGGTTAATAAGTCAGCTTCGAACTCAATGTAGGATTATTGGCTTGGGACCGTCAAAACCATATATAGGCCAAAACTTGAAAACCATCAAGTATTTTTTAAGGCTTAAATATAATGTCCTTGAGTATTATATTTACGCCTCGTAAAACATCATCGTTTCGTTATCTATGTTTTATAGTATTACAAGATTCACGAACTGGTGATAGTGTCTACTTACATTTAAACCTTTATACACCGTCCAGAATATAATGTCGGCTTAACTAATACACTCAATCTCTGGAGATTACGTAACGTTTCATTAACGTTGACCCCCTGTATACAGTGGCTATGAATAAGTATGTTTCTCTTTAGCTCGTTTCAGTTAACGAAGGTCATGCAGGTAATTGGTAGTCCGCTTTCCATGGGAATATTTATGTTCATTGTTTATTTTTCTTGCGTAATAGGTTTCTTTTTAATATTATTAAATACGAGTACACATTTAGTAATAAAAGAATAAATAATAAGCTAAAATCCGTCTCGAACGACTATTTAGTCGAGTTGAAAATTTTAAGAATACAAATGGCGATACAACAGGAGCTATCTTCACCTTATTTGTTATCTGTTGGTATAGGTATAGCACATTACCGTTTATAATATTTTCAAAAGAGAGAATGGAGAGGAAGATTAGAGACAAATGGGAGACGAGTTCCTTTAGAGGCGTTAACGGTAGTGTTAGTAATATTTTTAATAAACAATGAAAAAATGGTCCCACTCATCTTCTAATTAGTACGGTTCGTCTGCGACTAATTTGCGGCAAATTCTAAGCTATATAATTAGTAAATTTATTGTTTGTGCGTCAAATTTGCGGCCAATTAGATGCAATTTTTCCACATTGTGGATTTCGAATCGCATGAAGTCGTTGTGCTTACCTACTTAATGCAGGCAGCTGAGGGAAAGGTATGAAATATTTAGTTCTATCCATTACCCAGAACAGAATGATATGAAAACAATAATTATAAACCGGCATTTGTAATAATTTCGCATGGAATAAAGTCTACATAAAGGTCGAGTCATCGTCAGTCGTGTCGCCACGTTGTCTACCGTCCCAAAGGTTTTCCATTCTCAATACGTAATAACAACTCACGGACCCTCCCTTTCGGGACCCATTTTCCTTCATAAAACTCGTGTGAATACGTTTTATTCAGGTATTTTTGTATTTATTATCACCAAATAATAATTAATTCTCACGTACTAGGGGTTCCAGCTTGTTGTCCACTGGTCATGTTATTATTTACATTTTTCAAACAAGGCGCAGCAAATTATCAATTAATTAAATTAATTATCAGTTAAACATGTCCAGTTGTGAAGATAGCTAATGCGAGGGAAGAAAAATAATGCCAGTTCAGCAGTTCAGTCACCGTCTCCTATTACCCTACCCCGCGTAACTTTAGAACCTGACTTATCAACAAACAAAAATACCACCAAAAGGTAGGTAGTGTAATTTCACTTTGATCTTCTGGAAGAGGACGTTATTTTATTTTAAATGTACACACCTCCCAAATCAATTCAATGGCTCTACGTCACTTAAAATCTTATGTAAGAACATTCTGTCTCTCTATATGGTTATAGTTGAGGTTACGGATTCTGTTTTATTTCTCATTATTACCTGTCTTTGTGAAGTTGATCGCATTTTTTTTTATCTCATAATATAAAAAAAATGCTAGCGTTGAGCTTATCTCCGCCGTCGTCATAACTAAGATTTTTTACTTACAGTCAAAGAAGTTATCTACCAGTAATCAATAGGAAATAGAATTTCCTCCGATTTATAATCATTTAAGCTATGCTAAATTACTATTTTATGCCAACGGCAACGTCATTAGCTTTTAGTTTTTGTCATAAACTGCACTTATACGCTTTTAATTAATTCGCTACTATTTTGATCCCAGTTCACTAATTTTAGAACAGCTTTTAAGTACCTATATTAATTTTACTTAGATAGGTACTTTTAAATAATACTTCCATTTATACCTAACCTACCGACTAAACATCATTTACTTGTCCGCAACATTAAACTTAACTTTTGTAATACTATTGTTAATTTTGACATGACCATTTCAGTCAAAATCTGATCGAAGATTTTTTTAAGTTGCTTATTGAAGTTCCCTTATGTTGATATAAAAAACTAGTACCTAACTACTATCTATATACCTACCAAGGCGACAAGACGAGTCAATCGAAGCGCAAGGGCACTACCTGCTACCTTTTCTCGAAGCGCTTCGTCGTTTTTTATCCCTTATACAACGATATTAAATAAATTGGGTTGGGATTATACCAGATAAACAACATTCTTGAAATATGTTGTTAAAACATATGAAGTTTTAATTGCCCTTATACCTACTTTAGATTTTATTGATATCTACATTTAACCCTGATTTCGGCGCTGACTCGCTGAAGATCATCAAAAATTTTAGGAAATTTCCTTAAGTCCTAGAAAGATGTAATTTGGAGTACTCGTATGTAAGCCAGTAGTACACAATAACAAAAAAAAAGTTGAAACTTGTAACTTTTATCCCCGAACCTCTTAAACTAGGAGATGGAAGTTTGTAGGTATTAGACTTCCGGAATTTTGATGCTAGCGAGATCCAAAAAAATTATATGGGGATTCCTACCAAATATATTTTTATGTAAAATGTTGCCAAGACGAGGCCATGACTCGCACTGTCAAAAAGATATCAGATCTTATGTAGAGCCAAGCTTCTAACTGTACATTTTCAGTTCCGTGCCGTTTCTTTACTACAAGAACTATTGTATAACAGAAAAGTAATAAAGGGTGGATAAATTATTGCACTTTACGCCCATGTGAATGAAGCAAAATAGATACGCTTTTATCTTAGACGTCATGGTAAATGTAAAAATAAAACAAAATTATTAACATATACATAAAGATAGGGCCATACTTATGACCCCTATACATTGGCTAGACGTCCATCTGTCAGCGGCTTGTTGTATCTCAGTCAATGGAAATAACCGTTATATAGACAGTTTTTTTTATTGTCTTTCTTAATTTCTTATCGTATGACAAAAATAATATGATAGCTTTACGAATTAAGAGAGGTCCTCATCTAAGAAATTTTATATTGCCGATTTTAGCTCGACCTTAATAATAAATCTACGGGACATTTCGTGTCCGAACCTATATACCTTATGATTAAAATTTTTTTTAGGTTTAAATCAAAGTTATAATTCAAAACCGATGATTTCGACTCTGATTGTGCAGTGAAAGATTCTATAACCAAATTGGAAGCACATTTAAAAATTCAGTAACCGCTCGTCTTCCGGTAAACCTACAAACCTTACCTGCTATTTGACTGGTTGGTATTATCGTAGAGTTAATTAGAAATATCTACTTAACAATGTGATTCAACTCTTGATCATCGTAACTATGTACTAACCTACTTACCAGTTCATTGTAAGTAATTGATCTCAATAAAGTTATAAATGTATTTTAATAAAGACAGTAAATTTGCCACACAACATATAAAGTAGGACTTCTCTCTTTATGGTCTTTTATTTATTCATGAGAATGTACCCGGCTATATAGTTGCGAAGAAGTAAATGGTCATTATTGTCATATTGTGTGTTATGAACTTGTAATATCGTGAGGTTTTTTTTAAATTAGCGAAGTTTTAAACTTTTAACATAATTTTGGAAGAGGATAATTATAATAATCTTTAATTATGGCAAAAAAAAAGCAAACTAAATAAAACCGTTTGAAAATAGGTATAAACCTACAAAAAGATATTGTAGGTGCATTAATTAGCCAATGACTGGTAGGTTATTATGGGTACAAAAACATTGATACAAAAATAGTAAGTTCTAAGCACACAAAAATGTTTCAAGGTAATTACCTAGTTACCTATCTATTTAAATAACCACTATGGGAAATACTAAAATAATGAAAACTGTACGTATTTAGCTGTTTAAAGGCCGTATTAAATTAAACTGCTCAATATTCAGCACGCGATAAACAAAATCAGACATCGTAGATGGAGCACAGAACAGAAAAATGGTATAGAGTATTTAATAAGAGATTGTTTGTTAGGTGAAATGTAAATAGTACGCTGCTGTCTAGGTTAGACCT